CAATTTCAAGCCTTCTTTACGCATAAATCCGTCTCAGAAAGCTAAAATAACGCTCCGCTTCCTCTTGTGCGAACATATCCCTCTGCATTGGGTTCAAATGAGTTAAAATACAACTGATTGTAAAACTGTCACCGACCCACATCGGACTGCAAGTAATGTTATTTTTCCTTGCCTGGTGGGCATATAATACCAAATAATATGCATAGAAAATGCTGTTAATAGAGCCAAGGACACTTCCACCAATTGTGAGAAGAATTGATATAAGATTATTCAAAAAATTTGCCCCAATAACTTATCGGCTCTGATGCTTGCAGTCCTGGATAATCAAAGTGACGATTATTCAGCCTAAAGTAAGACTACACGAGTGACATTAGCAAAAATTAACTGAGATGAAACCTAGCCATTGAGATCAGGGTCTTATACGGGTTGGTTCTTTCAGTGAGGCTCGCGTACACGGTAATGATTAGGTGACTAGGTACTTGCCATTAGAAAAAGTGAAATAATGACTTTAGCACTGCTGGTGGACATCACTGAACAGTTGCTGGGTGTATCTAAGGTTACCCAGACTAAATTGAACACCAAATTATTATTATTATTTTTGAGAAATGCAAACATTGTGACGATTGGATGATTTCGAATCTGCTTGCAAATGTTTGTTTGTATTCTGGACACTCCTTTTTAGGATTGTGTAATAGAATTTTGCTTGGTTTATTTGCTTCGATAATTTGGGTTTGGTTCCATTTAAACCACTTCTTTGCTTTCAGTTGCGTAAATACCTGTTCCCATGGTGGATACATTCTACAGTAGTTCTTACAGAGACGAGAATTCTGACCCATTTGGTCTGTAAGATCGTTACTGAAGCGCGACTGACCATGGCAACAGCGGAGAATTTTATGTACAGGCTTAGTACGACCAGCTGTTCTTCAGCATTAGTAATTATCATCACTTGCTGCTACCGGCAACAAACAAAAACACACGAGTATAAAACCTTAACCACAAAATTTCCAAACAGTTGGTCCTTAATTTTTTTTGGTTTTCTGAGTGTAAGTGAATAAATGTTTAATGAGAATTCTTTCTGCCTGATCATCTTCTCCACCAATTAAGTTGGATTTTTGCTTAGCAAATCAGAATTCTAGAAGGAGCCAGATGTTCATCGGTAAATGGAGTTGTTAAAGCTTGTTTTAAAATGGACTTCACTTTGTTTTACTGTGATTTTTGTTCTTACATCTGAAAGAACTGCAGAATTCCTGAGACTACTATGTTCGCTTAGTAACTGGGACCTAGGTTCTATGCCAATGTGTCTGGTGCCTTGAAGATAACAGTCAAGATTTCGGAAAAAATTGCATCGAATTTTGGGAATTTGCATCCAAGTAAGTGGATCAACTTGGTACTGAACAGCATCGTTCACATAACACTGCCGAAGTTGCATGCGGATAAATAATTGTTGCCTAACCCGATAAACCGTGAGAAACTATAAGCGAGTCGTGACAAGCGGAAGTTTGGTCTGTGGTAGCGTGATTATATCGATGTGCGCTGCAGTGCACTTTTAGCCTTGGACATGCCCGAGAGACAACCTCATAGTTGCGGTAGTATCCCCATTTATGCCTGATCCAAATTTTCAAGTCATTTTGGGAAATAGGACACCAATCGGTATACTACTGAAGTTTGCCTCAATTTGGCTAAATAGATTTGGTTGTGATTGGTAGTCCCTTTCAAAGTAATTCCACTCTAAGTTGCCTGGTCAATGTATAGGGATTCAATTCTAATATCAACGGCATAGGAGATTACTACGCCGTCGAAAAATACGTTTATTTAACTGCCAAAAAGAGAAAAGAGCCAATACGGGCTGAAATGTTTCATTACGTGTAAGCTTAAATGTAATAATTTGCACAACGCGCAAACCGCTGTCGATCCGATCCAAACTTAAGGCACTTTCAGCAAGCGAGACCTCTTTTGCGGTCATGACCTTGAGCTTTGCCCTTATTTTTAATTGTCACTCATCTCATTACTCCTGTAACTCTTATTCCCCTCCATGAATTTACATTTTTAATTGTTTACTGCCTAAGTTCTACAAATTCTGTAAAATTCACATTATTTACAATAGTTGCATTAGGTCGAAATTTCGTGCAAGTTATTTAATTAGAAATGGTTGTGTGATCGTTAAAACTGCATCAATGCCGCCAATTAATTGAAAGCGAATTTATGGTTCACATTACTGACTCAATGTATGCAGCTCAAGAAAAATCAAATGACATTAGTCACCTACAACAAAAGCTACTCGGGGTAATTAAATCTCAAATTTCGCCATCTGACTTCTCAAATGTGACTTAGTTTAACACAGAGTGCCTCAATTTCACTCATTTTGTGTACAGGGTACAGCGAAAGAAACGTTACATGATAACACCATGCACTGCTGCTTGACAAGCTTGACAGGTTGGGAGAATCTTGCTACAACTTTCCAGTTACAGCAGTGTCCCACGTGGTTAATCTACTGGCATCGGCTCAATGTGCCTGATGCTGACTGTTAACAATGTGCACGAATTCGGCCGAAAAGTTTTTCGAGTTTCGGAGGAATCAAACACGGGCAATATTGTGATTTTATGCCTGACTTACTGACAAAACTGATTGCCTCGTGCACCACAAACATTTGGAGAATTGAAATGTTAGAGGTATGAACTTTTACAGCATTTAAAGCAGCAAATCATCTTTACAAATTTCACCATTGAGGGACTTTTGCAGCTTTGACTGTGAAAAGAATAGCGTGGTTCAAATCACGCTCCTCCAGTTTAAACCTGATGTCGGTTTGCAGCTTTACAAACCACGAAAGCCCAATTGAACAGCCACTTCATGGAACACTACACCAAATGGTTTGGTGATTTATCGGCTACAGTCGTGGTTATCATTGGCAAAGCGTAATGACGTGCAGATTTCGAACCGTAAACACACTAAGTGCAGCGCTCGAATTCTTCACAAGGCCGCAAATGGGTGTGTTAATTTGTGGGTTTTGAAAATGTTTAAACAAAATCCCACGACACACGCTCGGTTAGAGTGAATCCCAACGTGCAGTCGAATCTCTCCATGGAAACGTAACCGCGCAAACCACACGAATTGAAGGTGTGCTGGACAGTTACGGCAAACAGCAAGAGCTAATTAAATGCCTTCGCAAAATTTACTCTTTATAAATATTTAAACATTACCTATTTTGGCGCAATTCAGTGGCTCAGGTTTCTACGAGTCAGCGGCAATCTTTCAGTCAAAAATTTCAAGCATGCACTGACTAGATGGATAAAAAGTGAGTCGACAAACTTGCTAGCAGCCTTAATAACTGCTATACAGCGCTTCAGGGTGAATATCCAGAAGAGAAACGAATAACCCCTCAAATAAAGAGACAGAAACCATGTTAGCGCCATCTGACTGTAGCCTTTGACGAGTTCGAAAATCATGCGAAGTGCCAGCCACGTGATCTGGCAGACGCAATGTTAAATTGATGTACAATTCCACTTCAGAATAGAGCTGATTGTTACAGCTCCATGCGACCAAACTCAGTCCTCATCTCTACTCACCACCAGACGATTATTTGGGCCGGCATTTTCCGGAGATAAATCCATAGCAGTTTAAGAAAATATGTTGTGTATGCATAAGAGCTGTGGTTTAATTTGCACAGTTTTAAGGAAATTGAACCATGATAAGAGGTGCTTTAAATGTATTTACAATCAGTTTTTGCATAAATAGCTACCTTCGAATTGTTTGGAAACAAATGGCCTGACTAAATCGATCTAAAGAGGTGTCCGAAGAACCCGGAAAATCCAAGTACCACTTAGCTACGAAACGAGCAACCGGTTGCGCATGGCGACCTTATGGAATGCTCTCAATCCGTCAGTTATTCGAGTTTCACTTTAACTAACCATTCGCTTGCTAATTGACTAGTGTCTCTTCCAGAATTGGTTAACCTGTTTTGTCACATTTACTGGGCACAAGTTTGCGACACTTCGTTGCGTCCACCACCGTCAAACGCAGCACGGCAAGAGGCACTAAAGCCCTCGAAACAGGACTGACACATGAAATGCGGTGAATTCAAAGTACTGCCGAATGTGTGTCAAGTAGGTCATAAAAGAATCAGTTCAAGTGTCGCAGTACTGGGCTACGGTGCAAGGTCACAGTTGCCTTGACCCCCAAGTTGTGGGGACGTGGGGGAAAACCCACAATGAGACGCACTAATCACACTATGAAAAATCGATTCCGAAACCCCTGTAACATCGGAGATTAGCTGAGTGAGAACACGACACTATACCGCTGAAGACTACCAGCCTAAACGTGATGATTACTGTTTGTACTTCCCAAACATGCCAATGGAACCAACCTGTGCATCCTCACTCATCAAAGTGCTTGAAGAAAAAGCCCACCACCGCGTGTGCTAGTCTAACCACTCCCCGGCCTCATTCTGATTGGCCCGGCTGTCGAATGGAGATGAAATCTGAAACTTACTAGGTATCTTCAACCAAAGCACATCCAACCATCGTTTAGAAATCATAAGAGGAATTCCTAGCACCACTTGGTTACTGTGACCAGACCCCCAAAGTTGCAAACTCACGACGACAGCACAGACGTTCAACCGGAAATTCTCGAGTTATTTATTTACTGGTAATGGTCAAAGAGGAATAGCTTGATCGTAAAGTGGCATAAAGCAGGTAAGCTCAGTAAGACAGTGGGAGTTGGATCCGAGGATTATGAAGGCACTCGCATTCTCTTGAGGTACAGAAAACAGCAGCATTAGTCACTTTAGGAAAAATAAGATTCTCATCAAAGTAAACATGACTTAAACTGAAGGAGTGGAACGTCCGTGAAGGCCGTTTAGATTTGTACAGTGGTTGGGGGAACTAACAGAAGAGTATGAAGGAGGTGGCGCCAAACGAAATTGATTTTTCAGAGTCACGGAAGTGCAAGCGTCGTAGTAACGCAGGCCGAATGTGGAAACCAAGGAAAAGCAGGAAGCGAGAGCATCAGTCATTGGCACCTGTCAGCTTGTGGAACAGGCGCTCGTCAATTTTCTGGTTTTTGTCCGGATTCCTCTGACTCAAGAAGACGTACCCGCCAATCATTTCTACAACCGTTTTGCAGTTCGCAGTCAGCGGTTTAAAAGAGACCTTTCCATTTCTGAAATCAAGTATCACCCGCCCGTTATCCCAGTTTACATTCCAGCTGCGCAGGTCTGCGAAATTCCATGCAAGCTGGGTCTCCTCGGTTGAGGGGGATACGACCTCGATTCGACCCTGCCTGATGGCAATCACATCCTCCTGAGGATTCCCACCAGAGAAAAGACCTCCACCGGAACTCCCAAGGCCAAATTGATTTCCTTTGTCGAATTGGACGAGGAAGTAGGACCGGCCAAAGTGGTTGAGCCGCTGCCAATCCTCAATGTAGCGCAGCTTGGCCTCCTGCAACGATAGATCTCGCATGCCCGCGTGCGTCTCATTGATTCTCTGGCGAAGCGAGTCCTTGCTGCGCGCCTTTTTTATAATTCTCTCAGCACAGAAGTCGGTGAGGTCACCAAGACGAGCAGTTAAGTCTTCAGGACTAAGGACTGGGGTTGTGCACGGTGCGGCCTGCTTCTCAAGAGCCTCTCGGACAATCTCCAACTCTTTGTCGAAGGCTGCCTGACAACTTAAACTCTTGCCTCGGGCTGCTAGGCGGAAAGCGGCTACCCACTTTGTGTACTGTTCCATGGAGTTAAAACGAAGACAGACCTCTTCTCGCGTCTTACTGCGACGTCCAGAAACAGGTGTGGAGGAATTGGACGAAGGAGGACTGAAAACAAGGGAGAGCTTTACAGCGAAACGAACATTACTCGGGCTCAGATCAGGCGTAATGAGACAATCCCGGAGTGAATACGATGCCACTGGTAGGTCAACATTGTGCGGGTCACGATACAACACAAGCGTGGCACCCTTAACAACCGCCCACATCTCCTTGTACCGACGCAGGAGCAGACCCTTGTCCCGGAACACCTTAATCGAGTCCTGCAAGAAAGGGACACCACCTGAAGTGGTTTCATCAACTGTGTCGGGGTGCGCCGCACTGGATTTTCGCGGCTGACGCGCTCCGTTACAGGACTGCTCCAGCTCTGTCAGCATCGCGTCAATCTCGTCCACTTCCTCGAGGGGGTCACTGGAAAAAGACAAGTGGCAATTGGAACCGATGGGTGGACTGAGGGGACGCGTAGTTCCAGGGACAACTGTTCCAAGGCTGGGCATGCGCAAAAGCGACCCACTCAGCGAACGAGGTGAAGAGACACGAGCTGTCATTGAGAAATCGGGGCTGAGTGGACGCAGGCCGGTGTCTAAAGTGTTGTATGGTGCCAGTGTGTTATGTCGTGCTAAAGTGCCGCCTAAACTAGCATACATTGTGGCGGCTGATTTTAAAGCGGATTCATTTTGAAGTTCAGCTTGAAGCTGGTAAGCAGCGAAAACAATCATTTCATCTTCCGTGCACTCTAAATTGCCAGCAAGTAATGACCACCTAGCCTGTTCGTAGAGCTGGTGAATTCTGACAGCATCGTAGTTTGTGTTGATGTCGTAAAAGTTATAGTATTTGAAGCGAAGATATAGTGTGGGTGGTTTAGATGGAGTTGAGGAAAAGTCGTCGATTGGAATTGTCGGTGGCTCGATACCGTGTTCCATCAGGGAACGGGAGGAATCCAACCAACTCCCATCCATGCGGGCCTTCTGCTGAACATTCTTTGGTTTCAGCAACCATTCTTCCGAGAACACTGCTTTTGCACTCCTCCGTTGGCTGCAATCAGCAAACTTGCCGACATCGATACCTTCTTCATCAAGGGAATTATCTGACTGTCCTCGCATCAACGTGGCAGAGCCATAGGGCAGTGTGGGGTAGGGATTGGAGTCATTTAAACGACTCATCGATACAGTACCATTAATACCATTGGCGTGTGCTGTTGGCATCTCAGAGCGCGAACTGCCAATTGAAGTGAGTGGTCCAGTTCTCTTGACGCCGTGTCTGATGACGGGAAGGGGCTGATTGTATTTGAGGTGGTCTCGCTTGACGGGAAACATCAGAGACAATTCCTCGGGGTGACGGATACACAGTTCCTTGCAGATGTTTTCAACGACGGTGAAGACACGGCTGGCGTAATTGACGCGAAGGACGAGAGTGGAGAGAGAGGGCAGGACGATTTGCAAGTTGCCATGGGTACGGCGGAAAACAAGCTGAGCATCAGACTGGACACCGTACTGATCGAGGGAGGTACGAGTGTGGAGGAGCCACATGTTCCTCTGGGGCCACCAAATAGCGTGATCAGACCATGATTGTTTAAGATTCACCGCCTCGACGATTTGATGCATCAGCCCACCAACGCTGACATCGCCCCGAACGCGGACACACACAAGGTCGTTTATATCCTCCACGTGAATACACAACTCCCACGAACCGTCTAAGTAGGCTCCATCAACGATTAATCCATTCACAGCACTGAGTCCTTCATAGGGCCGGTCCTGGCCATAGCCATCCTGAGAGGGGTAACGGGCAACGAAATTTGTCATTGCAAATCCAAGCGATTACGGGAATAAATCCGGTGCGTTGCAAAGCCAAAAGAGGGCCTGCGCACTAACCTTCGACGCAGATCATACACGCGCGCGTGGCAACACGGAACACAGCCAAATCGCGACTGCGAGATTACGGAAATGAAGGAACGTGCGTGTGCGTACATTCACCACCATCATGTGCGTACGCGCACACATGAACGCAACATCGATTGGCGCGTCTAACGGCCTTGCTGTCCATTGGCTGGCTACAGGTGACACCTGCGCGTAGCAAGGGTACAGTCACTGCCTGACTAACTGTCGGCACGAGAAATTAGTTTCGCGCATTCATCATGACGCCCTCGCATTCGCGTGCCGCACTTTCGCCATTAAAAAAAGCCACGTTCGTCTTCTTGTCCCACCGCAGTTTCTGATGCACGAACGGGAGTGTTTAAAAATTTTTGTTTAGCCATATTTTCCACGTTTTTGCCAGCGTCATAAACTAGAATTTCTCATAAAGCCAAATGTTGACCCATCATGATAATGAATACTGAAATGAGTTTAGTAGAAAAGTGATGACTATTGTTCAGATGGCGTTTCCTCGTGTCAGTTAATGCTCCTAAGCTTAGCCAAGGTCTCGTCTACAAAGTGCTGCAATGTTTGTAACTAACGCGGGTGCAAAATGCATACCACCGTGGCGTTGAAAGCCAATCCCATGGCCAGGAATCTTGACTAGTAGAAGCCGCTGTGTTTGACGAAATGGGATGTTTTGTAGCACTTGGAATTGCTTCAGTTTGAAATAGTTTTATTGGTGCTTGTAGGGATCTTTGGCCTCCCAGTTTCTGTCGTGGGACTCGTTTATTCCCTCACTGATTTAATGTAAAAACGGTTTAGCAAGTTATGTACGAGGTGATTCAAGAGACGGACTAAGACAATCAAAATGGACCAGATTGGTGGTAAAGTGCTTGAATTCGTGGAGACTGTGTTCCCTCAAGGGCCTGTTAGTTCAATATTAAGCAGTCCAAGGATACCATCGCTGGATGCATACACTTCGGCACATTCTGCTCCGCGGTCGATTGCTACATTAATTCAAGACACCATCAAGAGTGCCTGAAGATATCGTTTGAATTGAATTATGGCCTTGGGTGTTAAGTAGGACATTTTCCCTGGCTTGTGTAGGCACAGCTTTCGACAAATAAGCGAGTAGTAGGTACTACTGTCGGTGGGATAAAACAAGTGGGCCTTGTTTAATACTTATGTGGGATGGGTGATGGCACTTCATTTACCCGAAGGAAGTGGGAATTTTTTCCAGTTTAGCAGGTTTGTCCGACTATCTCTTAAGACTAGACCAGAAAAATCTACCTCGAGGATCGAATCACAGCGTTCAAAGGTGCATGCGTGACTTGAGTTTGTGTAAGCGTGGTTCGAGGTATTCAATCAAGTGCTTTCTTTCTTCATTCGCTGTCTCAAATTCGCTTGGTAAGTAATGCCTTAGCCCAAGACCTGTTCCGGATTACAATCTAATTGGAATATTCACCTTGCGAATTGCAACACCTGGAATCGTGCCCCTGTAGAGATTTTCCCCATGGCTTGCTGTGATTGGCCTTCCCTCTAGCTGCGTCAGTAAACAAGGTGGGTCCCTCTACAACAGCTTAACACTCTCATGCTCAATTAGTTCGAGCGGAGAAAGAGGAAGAAGTGTATCGCTACCAATCTACCACTGATATCTAACTATTTAAATTTGCTGGCCCGATTCGACGATGCGATGATAGATCGAAGAATGCCAATGCTGTTTTGTACATGTCGAGCTACTTAATGTTTTAGAGTAGTGAATAGTTGTCTCCTTTGTACCATTACGGCACTTTGCCTACTTGACAAGCTGACAAAAACCAGTTGTTTCGGAATTAGAACCATCCACAGCCAAGTGCTAATTGGATAGTTACCTAATAAAATTTCACTTGAAACCTCAAAGTACCAGGATACTAACCCTTCTAATGAAAGTTACTACTTAAAATGAAATGGTGATAACACGACTAAGCTGTTACGTGCATATAGGCATTTAAGGTGTTCTAGCGTAACAAATTTTGCATTTGTAGGCAAGTTAAAAGAGCGCCAGTGTGTGCTGTCAAAATAAAATTCTGCATGACTTTAGCTGGGGGAAAAGATCAATTCCATCGCAGGTTGATACGGTATTTTTAAATTGGACTGAAAAGCGTTTTGGAACTTAAAAGCTAATTTTTTTTATCCGTATAAAGTAAAGGCAAAGACGTATCTATATCAGAAAACATGAACGCATGAAATAAGCAAGCAAACCAGATTAAAGAGTGAAGTCAAAACTACGTTTTTTTAAAACGCACAAAGGTTATTGTGAATCAAAATCTCGCCCAGCAAAGTACCTTGGTTTGCAGCAAAAGTAACCTAACATTTGGAGTGCATAAAGTGCGCGATAAAAGCCTGCATAACGTAAGCAAAATAATTAAAGGAAATGAAGAAAAAATGAATGAGAAAAAACGGCATGAAACTACTTTACAAGTCATTGAAGAAGATGAAAATGAGAGTAAATGACCATTGTTTTCACTTACACTTTTATCACATTACCAAATACGCAAGACAGCTAGATAAACCAGTGGTTTTGTTTTCAAATCAGGCGAGATAACTGGCTCCCTGGCGGAGTCAATTTAAAAATGAATATGTCCAAATCAGGTGTTTAAGAGAGGAAATCTCGTCTTTTGTTTGTGTAAGTCATGGAAGCCGTGAGGCGGAAAACGAGTAAGTTCAAATTAGGTTTGCGCAAATCTCGACCACTTACGCGGATTTCACGAAATTCATGACTCGTGAATATTAACCAATAGTGTTAATGGCATCAGCTTAAAGACAACTACACTAGCTCGTTTTCTCATTTAAAACCGACATAGGGGAATCGAACTACGCTTTAGTGCCTGGAGCCAGACTTGAGGTTTTCTCCGATTCTTATCTACCAGTAGGACGGCTACACCTTCGAAAAAAGCACTTTTGTTCTATGTTAACAGGCAATAGTTTTATGCAGGTGGTAACTGAACGTGACCCAGTTAAGCCGGGCATCACTGTACCTCAAGAAGCCAGGCTGGTAGTTCGGTGAAACAGACGATTTACCATAAAGTACGGCATAAAGTCATATTAGTAGCGATTCATTTACCTAATTAGGCTGTTCAAATGGAGCGTCATTTGACAATAGTTTTCAGAGAACACCGAACCATTAATGGCCACTTTCCCCTAAGCTGTAAAGGGACCTTGTATGAGAATGGATCAGAAACGGATAGCGTTAAATCCACCTATGAGCATAATAGGAGCAATAAAATTCCCCTGGCCAACACCTGTTCTGCGTCCGAATAGGGAAGAAATTGCACATTCGGTTTGATTGTTGCAACTACATTATATAAGACAGGAAGGGCGAAAGAACGATTGAAGCGAATGCATTAAAAAACATTAACAAACTGGTCTTCAGATCGTATTCAACCCTACACAATTTTGAAACATCTGTATTCTTTGCCATTTCAGAGATTTATGCACCGGTTTTGTATTCAACGAATGAAACAGGCTTGAAGCAATCAGCCGGATAATCCGTTTGGTACAAATAAAGCATAACACAGGTCTCTCATTAGCCCAAAGTGAAGGAGCCCATCAACATTGTACCTGAGATGGATGCTTGGCACATTTCAGCTCCATTGGTTATTCCATAAATCCACGCATTTACATAATATGAGACTGTTTCAAGGCGTCCCTTGGAGGCAACAATGCGCACAACGCAATCACTTTTACACTGAATAGCAAAATTTTGAAGAGATAACTATAATCACCAACCAAAGTAAACAAACAGTGCCAAAAACGTATGGAACCATTAGTAAGACATAACAACCGAGGGTGCACTAACACCTACGATAAAAATATCCGTACTTAAGTGTTATGGGAGTAAAAGTGAACCAGAAGTTATTCAAGCATACTACCGACACGTTTATTAAAAAATGCTCCTCGAGTCGGCACTTACGATGGTTTAACATGTAAAAAGAGCAACCACCGACAATTACGTTTGCCTACTTTGAAAATCAAGTTTGACTCCAATGATATAGGACGAGCCCGTAATTTTACAACTGCATACTCACAAAAAAACCCGAAGACGATAAAAAATAGAATATCTTATAGCAGTACGTAGCCAATATACGCGAAGAAAAAGAAAACTTGAATTTTTTACAGAATGTATTGTGAGAGACAATAGTAAAAATAAATACCAGTGTAAACATAGGGTACATATAAACAAGGTGGTTCAAAAGAGTAACCGACAGGGACGTTGAGTAATTAGATTGGGGCAAAATTAAAAAAAAGAAGACTACAGTGAATGAGATTCAGACTGTCTACTTTTGAGCGAAGAGTGCAGCCAATATAAAAGAACCAGGTATCCAATGGGGACAACAGCCTATTTAAAATTAACTTATCATAAAAACTTACACTGCCGACGTCGCCTAATACCATGTGGCAGTAAGACGTGAGGAACATTAAGCTCATTAATCCAATGCACGCGACACTTTGAGAGCGTAAAGTACCTGTCGCAAGGGTCGTGCCGCAAATAAGTTCAATAACACCAGACGTTTGCATGTAGACAAGTGGGCTGGTTTTTAAACCAAGCAGACGGATAGGTGACGCATTAGTTAAATTAATAAAGGCTTTTAGCTAAAGAGACATATTTCCGAAGGTGACATACGTACCAGTTCTCGGTAAAGCGACGAATTAAGCTTTATTGTTTTCACAGAACCTGAAGCAATAAACAATACACCCAGGAATACCGCAAAAACCTGGGCAGCGATTCCTGAAGCCATTCTGCTATTAAAGAAGCGCAACGCAAGCGCCAAAACTCAACTGACTATTACATAAAAGAGTGAATCAAACTGATTTGGAAAAACAAAAAATATGGAGCTATTTTTTGTTGTGCAGACTTTTATTAATAAGTATCTAGTAAAACTAAATTATATGCATTACTGGATAAAAAATTGTATACCATCATTGGGTGTAACACGATCGGTTTTATTGTCGCCAATCATCTTGATGATATCAAGACATCAATATGAAATATGGAGGTCTTAAAATTTGTTAAGAATTTAAAAGCTTGGCTTAAAATAATGAAAAGGTGTTTATGTAAGTCTAGCATGCTCCCAAGTTTACCTACAACAGAGGTGACTGCACTATAAGCAATGAAGGTAACATGAATCAAACACTTCAAGACACCTCCGCCTTTTGGGAAACCCTGCATAATTTACTAGAAATGAGTTTTTTTGATTATCTTTAACTCTTTACTTATGTATTGTTCTATGAGCAATTCGAATTAGGTGATGTGACTACCATAACTGCCTTAATTCCCACTCTGAGTTAGATGTGAAGTTAGATTTTTTGGTGTGACCGCTTTGATGTTGCATAGACTATAATCTTAGTGTCAATGGGTAAGTCAGGTCAAAAACATTTTCTAACTTGTAGTAAATAAGATTGTTGCATATTTCAAGCTGAAATCTTACGAAAGCGTCAACTGAAACTCCAAAAAATATTAGGTAAATCACAATAAAATCTCTCCATTTGCGAAGACAAAATTCCCACACAACACAAGCCCGTTTTTCGAATTAACTTTATTTGATTATCGCATTTTTGACTCCTTCATGTTGTGGTAGACTATATCCTGACTTGATGTATCCCTTTAATAGCTCCTGAGTTGAAATCGCTTTCATGTGGGTTTCAGATTACTCGCTCTCCTATCTTTAGATTGTTGACTAAGTTTGGTTTGATTTGTAGAGAACCATGCATTGTGTTAATTTTTAGACAATGACCAAATTCGCAACAGTGTAGTTATTATAAATAGCCATATTTAAAAAAGCTATAATGGCAAAGCATCTCAATGTTCTAGTAAAGCCATAATTACGCTAGCAATTAGGTAAAGAATATATGGATGAGAGGGAATTTTTTCGGACACATAATGATCGGTAGCAGCAAGAACCGGTTGAGTAGATTTAACTTATAATAGGAGTTATGTAAGTACGAAGAACGAGAATAGTGCATAGATAATTTGCCATCGAAATATTTAATATTAAATCTCTTCATTACCTTTTTTAGTTTTTTACCAAGATTTTTCTGGCACGGAAGATTTAATTCCGGTCATATCCACACGAAAAGAACAAAAATCCCTACTTTGTGCATAAATTAAATCAGAATAACAAGGTAATATAATGAAAATGGATTGAACGCAATCTACCACCAGAGCAAATTAAAATAGCATTTAATAGTGAAATGGTGGTGCGAAATCACAACAGTCATTACGCCGATTCGCCCGGCAAAAACATCAGTAAAAAAGTAGGACGGTCAAAAGTTTAAATATTTAAACAACAGTCAAAGTCTCAAGGTAGGATAAAAATGACACTTATTGCTATTAAAGTAGCAAACTGATAGAAGTATCATCTCCAGGGGCATCGATTTCGCCAGTTGACGGCACAGACAAATGTGAGGGCTTTTTTCGACAGCATTTGCAACGCTGGCAACACCGGCGACAACAGCGAAGACTCCGAACCACCCGCGCACAATGGCTGAGACGCGAAGCATCGACGGGGAGATCCGGGTCTTCCTGTTGGCGAGCAAGACTAATGAAGACTTGCTCCAGTCTGGTTTGACTGACGTGGTACGTGGCAATACTCAACTCCATTTTGTAGCACTCAATTAGACTGAAGACACGACTCAGGCTCACGGTTGGGTCCAGCAGGTGGAATTGTAGAACCCCCTGTAAAATGGAGTTGTTCTTGAGTGAATAGAGAGAAAGAAACGGTGACACGGGATTGTGCAATTCGCTAAATGGAGGCACTACGTATGGATGTCGGGGTTTGTTGAGGTCACAAATGCCGCCGTGGTCGCACCTATCTTGCGAGGCACACGTGGCATTTAGTTATAGCCACGCAAGGGAGTTATAGTAACCATACCGTTTAAATTGAGTCAACTGGCATTACGCAACAAACGGATGTCTACGTTTAGTAGTGCCAGCCTCAAGAAATTGGGATTCTCGAAATTACAAAACCGTTCTTCTCATGCGGCAAATAATCTACCTAGTCAACAGTGTGCACGACTACATCAAGGTAACACACCCACGAAAAGAATATTTTGAATTGGTGAAACATCATATGACACCAATTGATGATCTTTGAAATACAAAATCCGGGGTCTCGTTTATCCCACTAAATTATTATCCGATTCCCACAATAACGACAAAATAAACAAGGTAATAGGCAATATTGATTTATCAGAAAGCGTCTCTTTAATTATTTCCAATATATATTCGTTTGTACGCACTGTGGGTTGCATTTTCGGGTAGTCGACAATGTGGAAATTAGGTAATTGTTTTATGACCTACCAATTTCAGACGCGAGCAGTACATTCCGTCACACACAGTACTCAAGACCCGTGGTGACCTGACAACGGCCTTGCACACCAGATGTTTCGGGAATTCTTCAAATGAATTCCAAAATTTAGACAACCAGTGCACCGGCAGGCCACTTACCATCGGAACATCCAAGCAAATACAGCTGCACGCTTTGCCAGCGACCACTGCATACGGAGAGGCCACGAGAGCCACTATTTGATTCCTTGAATGTTAAAATGTTCACTGTTTAAATGAAAGCTATCTCACTCTGCGGATAAAATATTTCCAAGCCTGCAATCCAGTTGCAAAGCCGGAGTGTGCAAGTTTGTTTTAGTCGAGTGGATATTGACATCAAGCCAATCATTCCGATTGTTCCTGTCTACCATGAAAAACATCAAAAAAAGTCACATAGCCTTACAGTCATGTTATTTTGGCGCGTAAAATTCGCCTAAAGTGATTCGCTGTAGCCGTGGCAGTCATCACAAGAGTTGACACGCGCCCCAAGGCAACTACAAAGACCTCCAGCTACAGCCTGCTGTTGGCGATTCAAATGTATTAGCATGTGTGTAATGTAGACCGGGAATACGATGAGAATGAAACGCAGTTAGCCAGATTGGTACCTCGTGTTGGTCCAGAAGCTTGATGCAGGGGAACTCCGTCTCAAAGAACCGCACCACGCGCTGCACATTGGCTTCGAGTAGCGTGGTCTTGAGCAACGCCGCGTCAGTATCGGCATCAGTGAGGCCGGTGTCATCAAGGGAGGTGGTGCAGCTGGTACAACTGCGATCGCCACCGCGGGGATCGAAGTTGGGCAACGGGGAACTGGCGCGGCGTCCAGCTGTGACCTGGAGGCAGATGCTGTAGCCCTCGCCGAAACGCGACTTGAGATGCTGGCAGGCGCCGAGGCACTTGAGCCGACCGTTGACCAGAACACCAACGCGGGTGCACAGGGCCTCGCATTCGTCCATGCTGGAATGGCCAAAAACACTACCGATGGATCGGCAGATCGCAACTGCCCCCTTCAAACATCCTAGGCCATCATGTGATTTTATTTTGAAATCGCATAAACGCAGAGTAAATACAACCGCCACCTATCGAACGGTCACTCGGACACGAATTACAAGTGACCGCAGATCAGCGGACTTGGAGACATTACCTTTCGGCAAGAGGAGGACGAATGGATAGTGGTCGTTTGAGATGATAAACGTTAACGGAAGCCAGAGAGCAATTGAGTCGGAAAGTTTAGTTATTCAGCAGGGCTAATTGATTGAAGTTGATTCGCGGCCGAAGTACTCTCCGGTGTCTTAGCACAAAATAATGGAGCAAAAATAGCTCGTGTAAGGCGCGGGTATTAAAAAACAACACATGGCCCACAACTTCTCTACTTATTGACGCAGTGAGAGCTCCGCAAAAAACGTGCGCGAGCTGGACGGAGAAAAAAACGTCTCTGGATTTGATGGTTTCGCAGTGAGTACGAATAACCAGGGGCTACACTTTGTGAGGAGCGGTGTGTGGATTTGAGATTTGATGCCTTTAGCGAAGCATAATGTTTCGCATGTCTTACGCCTTGCCGCCGGGGTTGTGTGCGCGTGCTTCACTCCTCCGGCGCCTCGAGTAGAAAATTTATCACGAGAAGTTGTAGGAAAGCTACAGACACGAGAATCTGCCTTTAACAGTTGTTTACAGGCCTGTTCAAAGGTTTACTCAAAAGCCAAAAGAGGCTACATAGTTGTGGTTAGTTTTTCAGTTTTAAAGGTCCATATTGTCTGCTTTATAGGCTACTTCTGGGCTTTAGGGAATGAAATTGTCGACTAAGATGGAGTCAAATCTGAGGCACGACTTGCAGGTCGCCGCTGCCATAACACAACAGACCAATGAGACAACCAGCGTCAATTCCGCCAACCATTGTACTTTATGACAAGGAATAATAGTACAAAGGCTCAAAGTACCTGTGAGACGATATGACAATGGTACCGCCGGCTCTACGATAGGCGGTGAGCAGGTTCCAGATTCGCCGCCTTGATAGCGGATCAACACCAGTTGTGGGTTCGTCTAAACAAACGAGAGGAGGTGAACCGAGGAGGGCGGTGGCGAGTGAGAGGCGCCTGCGCTTGCCTCCGCTCAGGTGACGCACGGCGACGTCTGCATACTCGGTCAGCTTAAGCGACCTCAACAAGTCCTCGATGTTCTGTCGAACTGCGTCCATCTGAAGTCCACGAAGACGCCCGAAGAGAAGAAGCGTCTCCTTGCACGTCAGATAGTCCAGAAGCGCATCGAACTGGGGACAGTAGCTAATTGACTTTTGAGCCTAGTTGGCAAGCAAATAAATGCATCGAATTTCAACACACAATAACCATCATCCAGCACAGATGGGCATCTTTAAATTGGACAAAACAAACGCACATGGCGGCGCTGGGTGAGCACGTTGAAGCCGTTGATGAGGACGAGGCCATCGCTTGCGTCCAGCTTTCCCGTGATGATTTCGAAGAGCGTAGACTTGCCAGCACCGTTGACTCCGAGCAGCCCGAAGCACTCTCCCGGCGTGACCGCAAGAGTGAAGTCATCCACCGCAAGAACTGATCGACTACGTCGATTCGCTCCAAACCCATTTTCATACACCTTACTTACGTTTAGAAGTGCTAGGCTACAATGACAATAATAATAACATATCAGTGTGCCTTGTCAACCCCGTAGCTAGAAATCCACAAGTCCTCTAAATGTGCAGCCCACAAAGCTTTGTGTTAATTACATGGAGGAAATCGTATATGACGTTGCGACATTCTTAGAATTTACGACGGTAAAGGTAAATATTGTGGTGTAAAATAAAAATTGGCCCAAATTAGTTTATTCCGGAATTCATGTAAAGCGAGCTGGCGTTTTTGATATTAACTCGATTTGAGTGTACTGTCAGTGCAAATTGCAAATCGAATCGACCTCAGGCCAGGTCACAGTTTTAAAAATTAGTTGGAAAGGTGTGCGGAATCATAAGCAATGGTCAACGTGCCACCGTATTCTATTAACCTTAACCAGATGAGGTTATGCGTAAACGAATGAATGAATTTCTCACACAAACAAGTATTACTAGTGCTTCGTCCATGTTAGAACGCTTCAAGACATCCGTTGCATAGACTATGCAACGAATGCACCAATGAAGTGCGAGCAAATTTGCTTGATTTTGCCAAGGCATCATAAACAAGGAATGGAAATTAATGTCGGCGTTTGGTTGTCTAGGACACCTAAGTAGTTAGTGAAAATTCGATCCAAACTCATCTACAATATCGTCGTCTGATGTGACAGCTCATTCGCTCGCCGAGTGGGTATCCGTCCAAGCAATGAGGAGGCATAGTAACCGTGGTACAACATTAAGCAAAAGCCCATCGATTTGTGACGTAAATAGTTTGCCTTGTGCATAAGCCTTTGCCTACCGTGTTTCCTTTTTAAGCTGCTCCATCGAGAAGGAATGCACCTCGTTGTGGTGCCTTACAACATCCTCATCGTAGAGTCGATCTTGGGGCAATACGAGGTGGGGCGTGGTTGACCGATTGGGACAATAGCAACACGTGATCCGAAATCCTACATTAAAAGAACTTCGATAGCAGTGATTACAATAAATACCGCGATTACGTAGGATGAGATTCATTTCCTACCCGATTCTATCCAGCGCCACAATCGATGCGCAAGCGTGGTGTCACAGAAGACAACAAGGAGTAGGAAGAGAGCACCCTGAAATCCCATTGATACGAGGTGAAATCCTATGCCTGCTGTGTCCATAGAGAGGTAGTTTGTGCTCCAGTGGGCGCAGTAGGGATCACAAGTTTCTGATAAAGAAAAAGAAGGTCAAAGGAGCTTGAGAAACGCTCATACATGCGCGTACATTCGGCGAACAGAGCATTTCAAGTGAGACTAAAAGATGTCGCATGGGTCTGACTGCTGAAGTGTCAATTGACTTGTAGGACTCTCTCCTTGATCATGGAATCGTCTTACCTATAGATGCATGGCGATTGCACACTCCCTAGACCTATTAGATCATCGAAGTTTAACAGATGGGATATAAAACGCTTGCATAGATGTAGACTGGCGCTTTCAAGTGTGATGTGAACAGCCGGTGTAACATGAGTCCTTTTTGAAGAGATTACGTGCTGCTTCTACACACCTCGCATACGAATGAGAACTGTGTGGAAGAACGGAAGTAAGGTGGTTGCGGTAACGAAGGAATTACGCGACTACCACACAGACGGATTGCATGATGCAATCGGCGATTCCTCAAATACAAAGGAACACCCGTTCAGTTGGGAGCATTTCGTCATAGTCTGGTGAAGCCATCCACTATACCCGATAAGTAAATTACATATCTTTCCACGTCGGATCACGAAGCAAAGATCTGTTGAAAAGATATCACAGAACTGAATGTTGCCTTTAACAGTTTTAATAATTCCCGTGCATTTTGAGCTTCAATCGTTCACACCGTTGGTGGCAAAGCAAGGGGATTAGACGCACCCAAGCAACATGGCATTTTGCCAAGCTTCGCGTCAGCACAGATGAGCTCAATTCCAGGCACTGTGCACAGACGGTTGTACTCAAAGTTGGCGTTGATCGAGTAGAGGCCATCGGAGAAAGCAAAGTTGGGTGAGAGAGCGATCAAGAGGTACCTCAGGCGCAGGCCGAGCCACTGCTGACCAATCGAAGGTAAACTGAGAGCTTGCACAATTATCGTTCCAATAACACCTAAAAAAGAACAACCACTAAGCGATACCACAATGATTTAACACTGTCCTTCATTCACCGCAATAATCTAGCATTTCTTTTGGATGCCCACAAGATCACTGTGGAGGAAGTGTCAAGGTGTAACAGGAAAGAAATTGGGAGTTTCAACTGCGATTTACACGAAAGAAATCAGACTAAAAACACATATTTTTGAAGTTTGAGGATTAACCCGACGCCGAAATTTGACACAATAGAAAGACTGATTCAACGCAACCATGTGTATTTGAATTGGGGGAGACGTCCAAAATTTACCGTCCATGACTGATGGCAACATTGAACGGAAACGTTAAATAATTGTATTCAATGGAGAGATTGTGCTGAGGAAAACACTTATAAATAAACCGTAGGTTGGCTAAAGACAGTCCACAACACGTCGACAGGTTCGACTTAACACGGGTTTGAATGAGAAAAGCAAAGTTTTACTTCTGGGAAACGGGCAAAAGAGCCAGAGCACGAATCACCCCTGACCCCAATTCTGAGTAATATTGGGAATGTCAAGGGACGATGTCAAGATGCAGACCACTCCCATTCTCTTGAAGGCTTTGTGTAAACAACACGTCATACCTGGAGAGCACTTTTTCAGCTTAAAACGGTCAAATAAGCACTAGCTCGGACTACTGTACAAAGGAAGTGACGGCAAGGGGTAGTCAGCGTACCTGAAAGGGCGTTGAGGGCGCACAGCCAAACAAGACCGGAAGCGGCGGACGTGAAGAAGGCCGAGAGGAGGTACATGAGGGGGATGATGGACCAACCGTAGCTCGCAAACAGGAGACACACAAAGCAAAGGCGGTCACCTCGGTGAAAGGGCTCCAGATTAAAGAAGGCAAACACAATGATGACTAACAGACTGGAAGCGGCGAAGGTCAACGCGTCCCAGATATACATTGTCAGCCAGTACGTGGCTATAATTTCAAAGTAAAAAAAAGGACACTTCTGTCAACTATCTTCTCAAAATTATGTATACAACAAACGCCACAAAACAGCAACATCGACACACTTAAAAAAACTATTTTAATGATAGCATTTTAAAAGCACTCATCCGATAGCGCATGGAACCCACCCATGCTGAAGCACTTAGAAATTTCATGACTAAAAACAGACGACTATGTTGTGGACTCACACAGTCTGACTCCCGAGATGAATTGTAGGTGCTTGGCGTTGGATGATCGCTCATGAATGAGACAGAGTACGAGACTAGCGGCGAGAAAGGCAACACCCATCAGGGTGTCGATTCCCACCGTCACCCCGGAAACGATCACGTTAATCCAGGTCCTCTCCGACATCAGCTCGCCCAAAACCTCCATGGATGACGTCGGCAGAGGGTGGTTATACGTCTCGATGGTGATGTTGGACTGAGGAAAAGGAAGCAAGCAAACAGTCGGACACAAATGTGGTTACAGGGGACGTGTTCCTAGCTTGATGTGAAAAAGGAAACTTCACTTAAACATACACATGAGAGGACCAACCAACTGAATAACGCCTAGGTCGTAACGCTAAAAGGCATGGCACCACTAGTTGAAGCACTAGTCACGCCTCCCATACTTCAAATAATTAATTCCAAGTTGACATGGTTGCTACAAAAAGGGCTGTCCAAACTAGCTCTACAGGTAATTGGGTCAAACCAAGACACTCACCTGAGGGTAGAGGCGAAGGATGCCGTTGGAAAGGGTATTCAGAGCTGCTGGAAGGGCGTGCAACGACTCCCCCATGAAATAGACCAGAGCTTCCACTGATTTCGTGGATACAGATGTCGCATTCACAATCAACGCCGTAATGTAGTTTGTCACGTAGGCGTGGATGTTCTCCGTCGCCACACGCAGCATTTCTGACTGCGAAAAAGAGAGCACGTAAAGTAGCTGTGGTAGATTTAACAACAAGGGGATCTCCTCATCCGCCTGCAAGGGCTAATTGTCTGTCTTAAGAAAAAAACAGCCACTAACGTGTTCCTGCAGCGCTCAAGTGTGAATTCGTATTATCGACCTAGCATACTTTCGTGTACAGCCTGTATTCTAGCATAATAGTCTTCATATCGGAAACCTGAGCAATGGTAAAATGTGCATAGGGTAGGGCAACAGTAGTAGCAATTTCTAGGATTCTATACACCCATTTTTCTTACCTCTAAAGCCGAGGCATTCTTGATGACCTCTACAGAGACACTACGAGGATCGAACTGTTCGGAGTAGGCGGTCAGTAGGGAGGGTGGGTCTTGTTCACTAACCGCAGGCACCACCAACCTGTCCCACGTGAAGAACGACCTCAACGACAGAAGCAGAGGTGGCTGGACGTACAACTCGTAGTCGTAGATGTCCTTGTACACTAAGTGGGCCATTAACGTACATAACAACGGAACTACGAATTGCCCCAAGGCCAGAAGTGGCATCCGTTTAAAATACGCAAACCGCTTGTACGTCAGTGCAAAGATCTGCTGGCAGTAGAGTAGGCAACCTGTGTTATTCGATGCACTTTCACAGTTGAAAGTTTCTGAAGAACCAAAAACGTCGGAATGTAAGGAATCGTAGAAAAATGAAGAATCTGACATAATCACTAATGTATCTAGGACGCGATTCCACTAGAGCGATCTGAGCCATCGAAGTCAGCCTAAACGTCAAATTATGCATCCATTTTGATTAAGATTGAAAAATAGAGGGCTCATTTGGCGTTGATGGGGTAACACAAGGCTATTCAAACTATATTAGCATGTTGGCAAGTGAATCTGACAGCAGCCTGACTGCACCGTGACGGCTTTGAGGCGACAGATCACGGAAAATTATGCAAAGGCACAGGAGACGTCTAGATCGTTCAACACTGCGGGCTCAGTGCTGGTGACCTGCGCCATAGCAATGGTAACGACACATTCGCCCATGCGGTGGGTTCTCAGGCAGTCAATAAGGAGAAGGCAAAGAAAAATTTGAGTTGATTTTCAGAATGACTATGATTCGGTTCGATTACTCGGGGGTGGGACACGGGGCAACATACCCGTGACTTCGGTGGGCGGGTTCCAATCCGTTGACTCATCCGACACCTTTATTTGTGCAGCAACTCTAAAAGTAAAAATGCAGAGGCACGGCAAATAAGGCATTTCAAATCCTTCGTAATTAGAGATACCACCACCACTACTTCAAGGCAGCAGTTACGCCTGATTAAGACGTGGTGATTGATCACATAGACCAAGAAATCACTCTACAGCACAATCCTCCCATCTACGTACTTCGAAAGAATACAATTATACTAACAGCGTTTTGTCTCACTTGAAGAACACTTCTTCCATAGTCGTGACAGAGACCCCAAACGAGGAGATTCCCAGCATCGAGCCTTGAGATTCGAGCAGCGCAAAAAGCCCACCGAACGTGTGCACTGCGTCTACAGGTAGGAGGAGTTTGAGCTCTGCGCCGTCGCAGGACTGCTGCTTGGTTGCCAGCACGTACTGCTTGACGGTCGCCACAATCTCGTCCGGACGCGCCTCAGATGTCAGCGTTAGGGTCAGCGTATATCCAGTGCCTGCAGGATGGACTGATAGTGAGTGGAAGAAACACCACACAGCATCAAGCAACCATGCCCTGTTACCAACAACTATTGCTTAAGGATCTTGTAAGGGAGATGGTCTTTGTGGAGGAGATACTACTCGTGCAGCCATTCAGTTACAACCAAAAGTAAAGGAATATTTACGTGGAGGAACAAACACATCTACCACCGGCACTCTTCGAAATATGAGAACACACACGTCAGTTATCAGAAAACAACCCAGGTGATTCGTGAGTCGCAACGATGCGCCACGTACCAACGACCGACTTGAGGAAGAAGGGTGAGCCAAGACAGCAGAGTTTGCCGTCTGACATGATGGCAATCCTGTCGCCGAGGTACTCAGCTTCATCCATGTAGTGCGTGCTCACAAGCACAGTTCGGTTGGCCTTCTCACTAACGAGAATATCCCAAATCTGCCGACGTGCTGAAGGATCCAGTCCCGCGGTTGGCTCGTCAAGAATTACCACCTAAAAACACAAACACACAGAAGATCTGTGATCAATTGTCCTTTTTCACCGTAGACATGAGCCACGAACATGCAATATTTACTCAATGCCACTCCTACAAAACTAGACACGTTGAGATATTGGCTTCGATCATACAACTAATTTGAAATACTTAATCACGAGAAAACCAGCGACACTCTGTGTGGAAGGTGAGCGAATGCCATCACACACCCCAGTCTTCCAAAGAGGTGTCCGTTGGTGCTATGCTTGTGCATAAACCAATCTTCAGCCCAATCAGGACATGACTGCAGAAGATTACAGCCAAATAGCCCTGCTATTCCTGCTATGCAACAATTCACATCCACCATCACCTGCCTCGATGGTGTTGCAAATAAAAGATTCAGAAAAGGTGGGCTCCATAACCTTCTGACAGTTTCATAGGATAAGCGCACGTACGCGAGGAACCTTGGTGTAGACGGCGCACCTTACAGACAAACCGATCGGTCAAAAGTGATGAGGTTTATACACTGGTGACCAGAAGCCTGACGAAGCCAGACACCAATATTTACCACTAATACCCACGTGGGCGTCGTTTACTTGTCACGGCACTCACTCCGACAGGAATAAAATAAACACACAACACTGCTGCTGCTGCTGCTTAGAGAGGCGATTGAATCAGCGCGCGGACGCAGGGAACAAGATGCGCCGACACTTTTAAAACCGACTCATAGGCAGACTTTCCCATGCATTCAAGTGACGCCTGGTCGAAGACCCAGTTACGGGGTATAGACAAACAGTTAAAAAGGCTTTGCATGTGACTAACCCTCGAGTTGCCGATGAGCGCCATGCCAACAGAAAGGCGACGTTTAGCGCCACCGGAGAGGGTGTGCGCGAGGGCGCCGGCTTTTTGCTTCAATCGGACCTGAGAGAGAATTGAATTCACCTGGGCGACTGATTCCTTGCCTCCGCAACCCTTCAGCTACAACGGGCATTCAACTGAGTTCAGCAAAAAGGCTACACACCTACGCAAGAGAGACTTAGAGAAATTTCAAACAGGAGGATAGTGGTTTCAATTTTACAAAGTTACATGAACCCTCTGGGACCACCACTGGCCTCAGGCATCCTGATCGATCACACACGCCCTGGTCATTGTCACACGAGAATAACTTTGATCAAACTCAACCAATTAATAGGAGTTGTAAACGGCCTTGAACCAGCCGTCCTCAGCCCAAAGCCGTTATTTGGCTCTAAATATTACCGTCTACACTGTTATCGAACGAGGAGGGTTACCTAGACCAGTTCACGCCACCCTGCTTCCTCCTACAAGGAATTCAAGTCAAATTCTGAAAGAACTAGCTCACCGGTGGCTGTACGTACGTATTCCAGATAACTTCAGGTTCCCTCTTGAGAAACGACTACAATCATCAGATACTTACTAACCTCGACCTTCGCTTACTTGGCTAAGTAGGTTTTAATAAAATATACAAACATCCCTACGAGTTCATAATAAGTAGATCGTAAGGAAGTTGCGATCAAACTAAGTGCGGATCAAGTGATCGCCGTTTTCAGTTTTGCCGATATCGATGAGTAAATTTTTCCGTCAAATACTGCGGAGGAGGCCACTTTGAATGGATGAACTCCACCTTAGGTCGGTTTGTCAATGGGCTTACTATTAGACAATCTGTAAATCAACACGTAAACTTTTGTTTCAGTGCTAGGCAACTTCTAATAAAAAAAATGCTTGACATAAGGAACATCAAAACGCCTTTCAGCGCCATTGATAGTGACAGGTATCAAAACCTTGTTTTAATGTCTTCACGTAACCAATCCCACTAATTTCAGAACCGCCGTTTATGACAAACTTCCACAGACCAACACGTAAACATGCCTGTGTCGATTGATCGAACGGCTGCTACTTCATTACTACACACGCACATACAACGAGTGATTTGTGATAGTGCAACGAATGCACCGCCGAAATACGAGCAAATTCCCAGGGAATTTCCCTTGACTTTACTAGATCGCGCGTGATAACACAACCGCGGAACGCCAATCAGCATGGGTATTTGCTGAGTGGTTAGTAGAAAGCTGATATTTTGAGAAGTCGAGGTGACCTGGATTTCACAAGAAGTAGCACCAACTTCAAACGCACCACCTGATTTGACGAAACACCTGATCGGAAAGATTGTTTCTAATTTTAGGTGCCACTGAGCTGGTTACCATTTAAAGGAAGTGCAGAAGAGCAATGTAGAAGACGCGCATACCTTTGCAAAGAACCAGAGGTGCTCAAATACCGTCAGGTGGTCAAAGAGAAGATCGTGTTGTGGACAGAAGCCGAGGCTTTTGCGAACTGCTTGAATGTCTGACGAAATGGAGTGTCCATTAACGAACGCAGTTCCACTGGACGGCCTAATTAGACCTAAGGAAAAGGAAATGCGAGGTTGGTAGGAGTCGAAAAGTGGGCGCATTCACCACTAGGCGTTATCAGCAGGTGATTGACATTAGATTTACAGAGGAAGAGGATTAGGCAACGACAGAATGTAGATTCAATTGTCCACCGACTCATTCAAGCCACAGCCAAAACTTACAGACAGAATTACAGCGTTCACTAATTGGCCGATAATTCTTAAATTGCAATCGATGCCGCATCGGGTTAATAAGAGGACGTTCGTATCGTCGCCTCAAACACAACAAAGCCTGATGAGAAAGAGATGCAGCATGCACTAACAGTAAAACGCCTCGACGACAAACACTTGCGCGACCTTGTGAAATGCGGTTGCATGTTTGACCACAGAGACTATTACTCCCAAATGCAGCTGTGGCTCAGCCACTTCAGTGAATTCCACGGCCTTGTCATCCACAATTCAACGTCGAGTTTCGGGGCGCCAGAAACCCGATCACCTGAGGTCTGTTTAGCACCTAAATAAACAGTTACCACGGTGTCTTGGTAGTCAATACGCACACCCATCACTAATTCTAATTTGTCGTGATAGAACGCACTGCTTACTAAAACATCAACCTAACGACTAGTTGATTGTTCCACCTATTCAACATGCTCTTCACTTTACCGAGATGATTGTCATATTAACACAATTACCATATATATACCGCCAACCACCGCATTCCTGAAACCACCTGCAGTTTCTCAGATGCTGTCCATCGACCAATCACGAAATAGCCATCAAGGCTTGACTGCACGCGCACAACTAAAACCAAAGCGCCTTCCTCCATGCCTCGCCTTTTCATAATCCCGCCACAATAACACCTCCGGTGCATGCACAAGCCCGGTTTTACACTCAGCACCAGGAGCGACTTAACAAGTACTGGGCCGCCACGCTGACATTCAAATGTGTGAATGGGGATTGGTGGCCTTGTCGGCATCCTCATAGTGAACAAACGAGGCAGCATAGGGTAGTTTACGGTTGTTGACGATGAAATTAATCGAAGGATAACTGGTGGCATAAAAAACAGCGCACCGCGTATTCGTTTGAATGGCGTTCTCACCACTACATTCGCCCACTCATCAACAGCATTTAGGCAGCAACTGGCTTAAATACTACTTACAGTGGAAAAATCAACTTTGAAGAACAATTAGCCACCATTTCCGAAGTGTCAGGAGAATTATCTCGAAAGTATCAAGCAGCAATATTAGATGACAAATAACAACTTGTCACCAACCTGTAAGCATAGACATGAGAGTAGTTTTTCCGGCACCATTTCTACCAATGAGAACGGTGATCTGTCCTTCGTAAGCACTCATTGTTACATCGTCCACTGCTGGTGTAATTCTGTTGGCGGTGCTGTAATTCTAAAGCCAGTGAAACGTTGTCTATCAGTACAGAGCCCACACGTACTAAAAAAGGGACTTAATCTCAAAAGTAAAACTACGAAAATTTGCCCTGATTCAAGACAGTCTAATGGAGCTTGGTATTCACATCAATAGCCTTTGGCCACCAATCGTGACCGCCTTAGTAACTGGCAAATCAACTTGATTGGCTATTTTCGGCCCATCTCGATGCCATCAATAAGGGAAACTTTTGTTCTTCTAGAGGAATGTGTGACGGAAGAAGCAAATTGTCAGTTGCGCAATAGCCCATCTAGATAATTCTAGTCTCAATGCCAGCAAGTTATCGGTATGTAAAATCGCGCGAAAAAAAACTTTAGTTGAAATCCAGCGCATGCCTTGTAGAGGTTGTGGGTCGTAATACCGGCGCACAGACCAACGGGTGGCGGCTCGAACACGGGCTGCTTCAGACCGACCAGACCGGGGGCGTCTGAGCTCCTGCCGGCGGCGCCGTCAGCACCCTCACAGACGGGTAGGCCCGAGTCCTGGACGCGCAACGGACCCACAAAACCGCTGCCACCGACCCTTTGAGTGTGGCCGAAGAAAGCCGTGCGATAATGCAGAAGGCCCTAAGGCGAAATCGGGGGGGGGGGTATTTGAATCTGAGCACTTACGTTGGCGTCATTTGTTGCAGCATCAAGGCAATACACTCCGCTCAGGATTTGCGTTCAGCTCTGCGACAGAATCAGCCACAAAGCATCAAACGAAACCAACTTTGCAGTCATTTACAAGGAAATATATGGTCAAAGGTCTATGATTTACTTGGAATACTCACCAAATATTCGACAACGTCGAATACCTCATAACAAAAGGGGTTTGATTTTAAAACCGGGGTTTCCAGTGTTCAAAAAAGTACTTACACAAGGTTCTACATAGGGCCACTCAAGATTTAACGAGTTACGAAAAGACCCGACCATCCGCAAATTCCTCTAATGAATGTGACACAGTGTTGAGTCTAAATCATGACAGTCATTCACCGTTTGCGGGGTTTTATATATTAAGGGAGGGATAGTAGGCTCACAAGAGTAAAGATCTCACAGCGACAAGGTGCTACTAGACTCACGGTGATGGGGAAGTACCAGGGTTTGGGCACACCGTACTTGCCAGGCCAGACGTTGTCGATGTACCAGGCAAGGAGGAGGTAGAGAAGGGTGTCGGCGAAGAGAACACTCCACAGCAAGTCAAAACGCAGGGCGTCGTCGGACGAGGCCTGGTGAGCGAACAGGTGCCACTGTGCACCTGAGCCTTTCATACAGCAAAAAAAATTAGGTTTACCCTCGAGATTAAATTCTTTTTTTAGGTACGTATCGGCTGTGTACTGAGAGCGTTTTACTGGCTTTAGAATCACAACATTGACCAGAACTCTAGGAAGGTCCGTTACGTGCTGTAAATGACCAAATGAGCAATGATGTTATAGGCCAAGACTTCGTAATTGGATAAAAATTTGCATAGAAATTCCAGCTTTCGTAAATAAGTAGTTAATATCCCACCGAATAATGTAAATTTTATTTCTGATGTGGGCATCTAAAAGTCCGACAAACTGGATTAATAAAGGGGACTATTCCTACTTGTGAAATTCCAAAAAATCAGTGCGACGCAAACGTGTGTGAAGCTGGGAAATCCGTTTAATAGCGAAAAATGTTTTTCACTCAACAAAGTCGCTAATATGAAAAAAATATACCAAATAAGTGTCTGTGGTTTAGTGGAAGTAATCTAAAATACTATTTCCCCAAAGAAAAAAAACAATCAAAGTATCAGGGTAGAACTCACCGACACCCTCAAAACGTCCAATCAACAAACAGAGAAATCCAATAGCTATGTTTGGCATAACAGAAAAGGCCAGTTTTGATATGAGATGGTAGTTTTCAAAGTGAAGCGACATCAGCTGATATGGAGTGAAAGTAAGCACCAATATTGCACATGTTATTGCTGTTCCTCCGTTTGCTAAAACACACGATATTCGAAGAGAAAAAAAAGCAAGCATTAATCGAGCATGAGTAACCGACGCGGTTGAGCCTATCCCCACGACTAGCCAGAGTGAGTTTTCCAAATTTGTGAAATCAAACTTTAGGCTAGATAGGTGTAATATTGTCAAGAAAGTAAAAAAAACAAAATGGTAACAGTCCGGTGACCCACTTTCTCGCTTAATCAACCGTACGGAATACAGTTGGAAAAATTAAGCATAAAATTTTGACTAATAATGGATTTGATACATCAGATATACTCTAGACAAATCTATGTCACGTAAGTGTCGTTCCCACTACTTTATTTCAATTATTTTGGCCCCTACAGTTTTCTGGCCACATGGAATAGTTGAAAAGCGATCAAGTTCAGCTAGCGATACCAGATCTTCCCAGGTCGGCTTTCAATTAAACCAGGCTAAAACGTCTACATTACTCTACGGTGCATCCGTGTTGTCTGCAAGCCATAAAAGCACTAGCAAAAGAGCGGGTGGCTTAAACTTACTCGAGGAAAAGAGAGTCGACAGAGCAAACGTAAACGAAATAAGCGCAAAGGAGTAGAGTGCCATGGAGCAGAAGATAAAGCTGGGCGACGACCGAGCCAGCATCTTTCCTCCGACCCCAAAGTCGGCGCACAGCACTCCCGTCAAACAGGCTGCAGACAGGGTAAAGAGGAGACCATAGGGCACAAACCAGGAACTCCAGTAAGTCATTGAACTAACTCCCATCATCCGTACAGACTCCTTAAATAAGAGCATAATGCATTTTTTTTAACAAAAAAAAAGATTTTCGCAGATGTTTGAACCAGCTAAGTACCTGCTGGTTTGCCAGCTTAGTGACTGGAAATCGTTTGGTTTTACTGTTTTGGCGTTATATTTCTGGCATTGAGGACTAGTTCTCGACTAGATGTCACATAATGACACCTATCCCCGCGAAATTTGTGTGCATAGGAGATAAGTCCTTTCTTAATGTACCTCCAAAGGCCCAAAAGTTTCCAACACTTCAGATAAGCAAGCCAAAAGTATTTTGAAATAGGATTCTCTTAGAAATGGTAATTCTAGTACCATCTTAATACAATTAACTAACTCCACTTAGAGTGGGTAAATTTGTGCAACATCAAATACAGCTCTAACGGGGTTCTACTGAACCGCCAGAATTCGGATACCACCTCATTCAATTCTGAAAAGCTACGATTGACAATTGAAACTGCATTGCCTTTAATTATTCCCAAAGCTGACAAAGGGTTAGTTGCATAAATATAGATACGATAAGCTGTTGACCTTTAGCAATAGGACAGACAGACTTCACTTAAGGTAAACAGAGACGTCCTAAAAACTTTTGAACCTGACTTGTTTATGCCCGAAAGTCAGACGCCTGGTGACTACAAATCTCGAATTGATTTAAACGATCCTTCTTACACGGTCATGCGGTTTCTACGTACACACTGTCCCACAGGAGCGGAACCTATTGAAATATACCGAGATTGGTTTCTTGGAGAACTACCAAGGCCAACAAGCCAGTGTTTTTAGTCAAATCTACCAGCTGACAACAACACCGATGCGCTTTTTGAACCGATTCTGATTTCCAACTAACTAATAAACCAATTTAGTTCTTCCGTGAGAAATTGTTGCAAAAAATAAATGCGGATAATCAGTCTAAATTAAACGACGCTATCAGTTTTAAGGTACAGCACAGAATAGGAAGCCAATGTACCTTCATTCTTGTATTTTTTTCCGCCAAGATACGTTTGATGAGACTGGCAACGGGGAAGAGGTAACCGACCACAATAAGTATCGATAACTGTTGGCTAATTACAACAGAAAACATATCTTCTAAATGTGCAGGATACGGCAACCTTTTAAATGCATACTCCACTTGATATGGCAGTGACACATTTAACCACTTTCCAGTCTGATCGATAATGGCACTATCAACTGCCTTTTGAAGGGCAAGAAATCCTGATTTAATGTAATGGGGAGGTTCGGCGAATTTGCTGCCATTTGAACGCGGACCGGGAGTTGGAAAACGACGGAAAAGTAGCGAGGTGTCCCAGCTCACCCGTGAGTGCACGCGAATAGAGTAAGCAATGTTTGTGTAGTCAGAACAGTTGTGAAAAACAACACCTGCACAGCCATAGGTGCAGTTCTGTAAGTAAGTCACTAACTCTTTTTCACTAGGGAGACTGAATGGGGTAGCACTCAGATACGTAGCTGCCTGATTAATAATGTTACTTGAAAGAACACAGTCCGGTGAATACGCAATAATCCAATGGGAAGAAGGCACAGTTGGAAGATGATTTATTGAGAAGTTCGGCCAAGTAGTATCAAATGGGACTTCGATGCGGGGCGTCTTGGAACGAATGACGAGAAGAAATATGGTCGTTAGCGCCGGGAATAAGACAGTGAATATCGAACTTATCCAGCGCCTCCGGAAGAAGACCGCTGACTTCCAGCAGAGAAGAAGCAACTTCATCCTGAAATTGATAACTTTTTGCGTTACTAGGTCCAGAAGTAGTATTTCCAATGTATACAAATATGGTTATGTAAATCTTAGTCGCCTACCCGTGTGGCTTATACATTTACGTTATAGACAATGCTTTATGAATATTAACAAGGAATTAATATTGATTTGAACTGAAACAAAATTAAGTTACATCCTTTGGCATCATTGTGCCCAGAAGTTTTTCACAATGTTCACTGAACGAAGCCCCCATTTTGAGCTTATTAAATATTAAAGTTCTGTTTCAAATGTGACACAAATGCGTACAGATATAAAGGAACAAAATTAAACTTTCCAGACAGCAATGGGAATCACAGGGTTTTAGGCAAATAGATATTAAATAACAAAAAATTTATGCAGTTAATTCAAGGTTCTCATGAACAGGAAATTAGTGTGCACATACGAAACAGCATTACCTCCCGGTTTCGGAAAACGGTCAACGACAACTTACACAGCTTTTCATAGAGGCGGCTAGTTCAAGGGTAATTACAACAACCATTCCTTTCCTCGAGATAAAAATATGACAAGGTGTTTTTTTATTATTTAACTTTTTTTTAAATTTAATGCAATCTTTTTCGTCAATATCAAAATAGTCATATTGCATTGTATCAACTATTCAAACGTCTCTTTGTGCTACGGTGGTGATTTAACTTGGTTAATCAGGAATCTAATAAAAAAATCAAAAAGTGTTTTTTAATGCATGGATGTCTAAATGACAATATTATTATATTTGTGTTGGCTAAGGCACACTATATTTGGATGTCGAGCTGTTATGTTCGTCGACTCAGTATCTACGCGATTTCTCGTACAGGAATAAGTGGCAACTGTTTACAGGGCAAACGAATTTATCGATTAAACGAATTCAGTAAAATTTGCATATTCTCAGGTGTGTAGATGGCAGGTTGCGTGGTATCGCACAGCACCATATTTTCATTCTTGGGTGACAACCCACACATTCTTGATTAAGCGATTAAACCTTGGAACATGTGAATGCCTTTTTCGAAGCGCTGATTGATTTTGTTTTGACAATTAAAAAGATAAAGATCAGATATACAGATTCTGAAAACATCGGGATTTTTTCAATGAAGAAAATTAGAATGATTCTCAATTAGCGACGCATTTGGGCCACTGATAAGAAGTATTAAAGATTTTTGGAACCTGAAACGCGATGCTGAATAATTCTATGTGTGGCTTCTACTTTCGCATCCAAAATGATAAATTTGCTAATGTACGTGTTTGCCCGGTTCTAAGTAGCCTTGTCACTTGTGTTCTGAATGTTGTAATTGGTTACCGCTTGTTGTTTGAGCTAGACTTCATGTCTAGGAAAGTCGGTGCAAGACGCCCGACAATTGCTACGGCATCACGTTCTACTTCCCAGTAAGACGCGGTGATAAATTGAACCACGGCATTTGATGGCAATTTTTCATAATATAGTTTGCTGAGCATGTCAACCCTGACTACATGGAAAAACATGCCCAATGCTGAGATTCTAATCATAGTTGGCATTACACGTTTTAAAATCAGCACAACTACTGGGTATGCATAGCTGTTACAGTAAAAACTCTTGACCATGAATTTACTTGTGTTGAGCTGTACTTATACCATTTACTCAGCTAGATATTCTGCGAAGAGTCTACTGTGTAGATTTTAGACAGAATCCTGCGTCGTATCTCGTACCGACTAAATTCAAATCGGCAATAACCAGTCATCGCGGCCTTCCTCCTAGAAAGTTCTTCACTAACTGAAATTGAACTTGAATTTCAGGAGCACAATCAACTTTTCAGCCACCAAATATGGTCACATACTAGGGATAGATTAGATAAGCAATTTGATTCAAATGAACGCCCATTGATATGCCAAACTGAGCCCAAGCACTCTGTGTCGGGAAAGGCTTGAAGACCACATTAAGGATTCCTTGTGAATGATTAATTTACTGTTCGAAAATGAGTAGAAACTAAGAAAGTAGCTAAATACATGGTCTGTCTGGTAAATACAGTAGTTCAAACTACTAAACCGAAGGCAGTAGTGGAGACACGTCTCTAATGGCAGCCTGTCAAACAGTCAGGGTCGACCTTCCTTCTAACGAATTGGCATAGGCCTGCAAAACGGGGGACACCTCCCCCGCTAGAAATTCGTCCACCTAAAAAAACGTAAAAATGATATAACATCAAGTAACGCTGTGTGACACGGATGCTCACAAGCAGTCTTGTTTGGTTTTGTCCTGTATCGACGCATAGGTAGACCAAGATAACATACATGTAAAGTGTTTTGCGCTATAGTAAGTCGTACGCTAAAAAACTCCTTATGCGATAACACTCATCAGTATAATTATTGTTACTAGTTGGGTGTGCTTCACACTACCCCTGAAACTTGGTTCAACACTTACTTGTGCAGGAGCGCGACCAATGAAAGCGCGTGAGTCCAAAAGGTGATCAAGTTCATTGGCGATTGGTGCAAAGTATGAGTCGGCCTGAAGACGGGCAACAAGGTCATTCAGCTGACCCTCTAACTTGACCACAGCCCCTGCAGCCTGACTGTGCGCTCGTATTCTTTCGTGGCACTCTTGCCGGTCGGCCTTTGCCAGAGTAACCATTCGAACGAGAATTCTCTCCGCCGCCAGGAAGGGCAGTTCCGCCGCCAGATTTCTTTCAATAACCTTTTTGGACAAGATATAACTCAACGTTTACGAGCTGGACACACGCACATTGTTTTCGTATGGTCAATAAAAAGGTACGACTAAATACAACAATAATGCCAACAGATTCGACGACATCTGCTAATCAGGAATGGAGTCCATGACACATGGAATTAGAGCTAAACCATACCTTTGGGTACACAACAAGACCCTCGAAAATGTTCTGCAAGATGGAAAGACAGGCATCAGCTGCAAGGCAGGCCTCTGGAAGAACAACACGCCTAATGGCCGAATCATCAAGAGAGCGTTCGAGCCACTGAACGGAGGCTGTGTTTAGACAAGCAGACGACTGAGACATTAGCAGACGTCCCAAGGCACAAGCACGCTCACAACGGATAGGGTTTCGCTTGTAGGGCATCGCAGAAGATCCAATCTACAAGAACATGAAAGTGCCCGTAGTATCGAAAGAGAGGGTTCGATGAATATGGAACGAGGCTTAGTTGAGGAGTACAAAGTACTATTTGGGTCATTCAAGAAAATGTTTGATAATTGATGAGACATAGACCAGACACCTCGCACATTATGCCACACGAAGGTCTTCGCGAACATCACATGGACTAGAAGAGTCATAACTCCACACACACAGACACGAACCTGATGAGACTCGAAGGGTTCCTCCATCTCCTTGATGCTGGCCAGAAGGCGTATATCGGTGCAGATTTTGTGAACGGTGGCTCCCAGGCTCGAAAGAATGCTCACAAGTTCTGAGTCTAGTTTTCGAGGATATGTCTGCCCTGTAGCCTTCCACAAACGAGAGAAACCGGCCTTCTGAGCAAATAACTCATCCAACTTCGACACCTAAAGTTTAAATATGCCCAGAACATTAGATCAAGGTTGGGATTGCACATCTGAGGTTGAAGTTAACAAGAGCTATAGACAAGCAAGTAATCCTCGCTTCCGACAACAATGCAGTGTTCAATTTTTACTTCAATCAACAATGCCCAGGTAAAGCGTAGTTGTGATTCAGGGTGTTCAATACAAAAACATGAAAAATTTAAAACATCCTGGTTGGGTTGTTCATATTACGCCTTAACCTCCAACTGAAGGTATTTGGACTAAGAATCTCAGTAAACCTGCGGAAAGTTAAGAGAACTACCTTGTCGTGATCTCCGTCAAAAAGATCGAGAAAAGAGGCCTGAGTTCCGACAGCGCCCTTGGCACCACGGAATTGGATTAGGTGGTCACGGGCACGCTCGATATTCTCCAGGTCAAGAAGCAACTCCTGGATCCACATACACATGCGACGGCCCACGGTTGTGGGCTGTGCAGGTTGAAGGTGCGTGCGCCCGAGACAAACGAGGTCACGGTAGGTCCTTGCCTGAACTGCTAGCCGCTCCACGCAGCGGGCCACCTTGGGTGCCAGTAACTCGAAAGCGTGCCTGAGGCAGATCAAGTCAGCGTTATCTACCACATCGCAGGAGGTCGCACCTAAAATAAGCAACCCATGCGTCTCAGCATCTAAATACGGGAGTAACTACAGAAACCGTTCACGCCTTACCTTATTGCACACAAAGCTACTTATTCTACTTTACTTGCACCATCTTTACATTTTATCCTGTTATCCACCAATTACACGCACAGTAGTCGCACCATGTGTGCTTGTCAGCCCAACCTCGTTGACCACGTACTCGAGAGTGTTAACGACAAAATTAAGACTACGGTCATCACATGGTAATCTGTCAAGGACCGAAATTTTAGAAGGGATAACACAGAGCTAGGTTCCTACTTCTTCACCTTTCGAAAATGTTTATAGCATTTCTGCTCCTGTACAGATCCTAGGTCCCCGAGACCATAAAAATCATCTATGATTAGACGCCTTTTTGAAGTCTGGAACAGGCGCTGCGTGAAGATAACCATTAAAAGGCATCGCAAGGCAAACAATTTTACTCTGCAACGCTTCAGTCCACTTGCATATTCATTCAATCCAGTACCAGTACTTGACATTGTGTTAGGCAAAACTACGAATTATTGAATGTTTAAGGTAAAAACGACTTTTCTTGAAATAATAACACAAACAGAATGACAACGCCGGCCATCTATTAAAATTAAGGCTTTCATCCCCATTACATCCGTTTCAGGAGAAAATAATTAAGGCAACTACGAAAAGCTTCCAAATACAAGTGTTTTAAATTGGGGAAACCATAAGAAATTTTAATAAGATTGGCCATACATAAATTACTTTTCACACGATTTTAACAATAAATGCTAAATTGATATACGAGCCTTTATGCTCAAACGTTCGAGTACAGGGATGCAAGTGGTTTACAATGGTTCCTCGTGATAATAAGCATGGTGTACTAGGATAACCCGGATGTTCATTCTCGCTTGGTCGAAGTTATAACAACCAATTGCTTGTGTTGCTTCTAACTTTGCGTCGCACAAAACAAATCGCTGAATTTTGATATTGAGCCCACCTAATTGCGACTGTAGCAAGAATCGTAAACTTAGCCACAGAAATTATCGGGTCAATGGGTGTTGCTGATACACATAGCTACTCCTGATCACACCTTTATTGCCATGCCAACAAACGTCTAGCGAGGCAATAGACCTTTAAGTTTTCACTTGAGGCCTCTACACGACATTAACTACAACCATATGAATAATTAAGATGTTTAAATTACAAAAGTTTAAAATGTCGATAATAATGCTTGAAAATAGTAGAATAACTCAACAAAACTAACCTAGATGAATGATAGGAGAGGCTTTTGGACACGCCAAGGCAAACACGTAGACATGGGCCATAACGTCATGTCGCCGTTCAGCCTCTTCTTTTGCGGCTTGTTCAAAATCAATTTTATCCAAGTTGCTTCTCATTTCATCAAGCTGTTCCTCTGAAGCACATAAATCATTAAATATTGATCGGCAAACCAAATAACTAAGAATTTGAGTAAAATGACATCTAGGATCGCAAAAGATTATAAAACCATGATGGCCTAATCGAGTAAGGCGGTAAACCAAATCAACGCTGGTAACACCGAGGTTGACACCCATTTCAATTTCACCAACAAAAGAACGATTATTTATAATAATTGCAGTTCAGAATAAGAACAAGGTTCACGCGTTTTTATGTCTGATACGACATAAATTACAATAAGTGATGCAAGCCACATGAGCAATGGAGGAACAATTAACGTTGGCTTTATCACACGTTGAGGCCTCGACAATGAAGTGCATCTACTAAGGCTAATATTTTTCACACTTTTGATAGACACATTCAAAAACTACCCAATTAGCTAGTCCTGGGGATTTCACACTAGGCGTTTTATTACACTGGGAGTCATCATTACCTTGAAGATTCTCCGTAAATATGCAAACGAATAAAACAACCAATCACTGGAAAACAATATGTCCAAATAGATAGGTTGGCGTACTTGTTATTTTTACACCTAGTTCCTGCTGTGATTCCGCAAGCCACAACCAGAGTTGTCTCCACAGCATAATCTTCCGTTTGGCACTGAAATTGAACTTCATTTCAGGGCTAGCGTAGCGGGTGTTAAGTGGACTCCTAAAGCAGTTTGTCAGAAGAATATACAAACATACTCAAAGGTTTCATTGCTGCTATTCATAGTTTGATGAAGTAAGGCGCGACCCTGGTCCTAAAATTGAACCAAGAGCCTGAAGCTCAATCATTCACAAGCCAGACTCAAATTATTGGAATGGAGGGCCAACGTGTATTGCATAAATCGGACATTACAGACACACAGGGAGGGGGTACAGTTTTAGGGTGAACAGAGGCGGGAAATAGGGAAACATGGCTGACGTATGGAAAGCGCATTTTGCTCAGGCCCTGAGGCGGAATCAACAGACTTTCATCTGTTCTCTCGTTTGTGGATGATAACAGACTTGTTCTCGAAAAATAGACCCAAAACTTGTGAGCATGCTTTCAAGCTAGGGAGCCACTGTTTGCAGAACCCGCACCGCTAGAGGCCTTCACGCCAGCTTATAGGAGATGGAGGAAACCTACGAGTTTCATCAAGTATGTCAGTGGAAAAGGGGAAAATGTGTCGGCGGATGGAGCGACAGGACTTACGAATGTGAACTAACGCGATTTACAACAGTTTCAGGGTGAACAAACGAGGAAAATAGAGAGGGGAACATGGTTGACGTATGAGAAAACGTTTTTTACAGATTCTTAAGTGGAAGCAACAGACGACGCCATGAACTGGCAGCACAGACCTATAAGGTGAAGGAGATAATTTTCACTAGCGGCGAACATCCCAGAAATCCAACCAAAAAGCAGTTACATATATTTCATTGGCACACGCCGCTGTCCTGGCGATTCTTCTTGTCAACGATTAATATCATTGCCTATGCTCTCCCACCACAGGTCTTTTCCGATTCCTCAGTTGAATCTTCTATTTGACAAACACTAGCCAATATTTCTTATTTCCAGTCTTCTCAGCAGTTTGATCTCACTTTACGCAACGTTAAAGTGGCTCTGATTCCGCGTTGCAAGACTTCCAGAATTGTTTATTCAGGACACAACAGCAGGATACGAGTAGGGAAAGCACCAAGACTTGCAATCCTTAAACCAAATCCATGTACTAGTTACTCAGCAAGTCAGGAATGAAGCGAATTGTACGTCATCCCAAGTGGCGCGCTTGACAATTTTACCACTAAATGCGCGCCACGATGAAGACCTTGCAACAAAATTAAACAAGTTGGTATTATGAGGATTAATAAAAGATCTGAAATTGTGGTTATAAATTAAACAAATCATTAATGTAGTTGAATCTCATTTTGCATTTTCCGCCATATCCAGATCCCGAAGTCGGTAGTGGACAATGATGCTGGTAGTTTCATTTTCCCACTATTAATTTTCCCTGCTCATCCAAGCTCCTGATTTATTATTTTTTGCAGATTAAAAAGATTCTACTTCTAAAAGATGAAGTCTAAACTTTCCTAATTGTTGTTTTTCGGTGACTTTAACCCTGTTGTTTTACGTAGAATTGTAAATATTCTCTTTTACTGCGGCTTACCGTAGCTTAATCTGTTTTTACCAAGAAGATGAGCAACTAACTGTTGACGAACTTTTTATCAATCACTTTGTAGTCTAATTCTAGGCTTTGTTACATGTGTTAGCGTCGTTTGTGACACAAACCTCACAGAAAATTGGTACCGATTTCGATGTTATTTTCTTTGATACCTATATATTTTTTTGAAAATTCCGCTTCACTGGACTTTGGTGTACTGCTCCTATTTATGGAGACTTAATAACTAATAAAGGGAAATTATAATTGACCATCGGGTAAAATAACTTAGTTGAGCTAACCGAATTGGTGAAAATACCTCGCGTTGAATGCCTCCTCTCCATCTCTAAAAAATTAATTAATTACTCATGCATTCTTGCAAACTTTGCTGTCAAAACAAGGAAGATAATGAAAACATTGACATGTAGTGACAAATAAATATGCAATAACTCCTTTCATAGTGTCAATAATGTAAACTAAGGCATAGTAATGAATGATTCTGGAACGTGTCTACTGAAATTTACAATTAAGAATTATATAAACTGGTAGATTTAATGAGCATCTGTGTTGAAAAAGTGGACATGGTTTCAAATATAATAAAGCTCTAGTCTGAAGTCGAATCATTCTCTTGTCGAAGTCTCCGACATAACTGAATCCGTGGAAAATAGATCAACAGTTTGGATACAAAGATCGACTGTGCTGTCGCTGGCTTGCTGAAGAAGATTATTTAGCGTGCCAGCAGAGCTGTGAGCTGCAGTTAAAGCCATTGATGGTACTTCTACCAGTTCAGAGGATTTTCGAGGGTAATGGGAGTTTAAGGAGACTGTCCATGGCCTTAAGCGGTCGGAGGTAGCTCGATCTCTGTTTAAGCTGAAAATGGACTCAGCGACCGCCTGTTCCACTGACAGTTTGTCCGCGAACCGTTCTACACCCAAAAAACCACCAAGTGACTAGGGGCTAAATTTATTCCAAATATAAATTATGTTTTGATTTTATCACATCCAGTGACTGAGATTTTGTATGATTTGAATCTTGGTGCATACATATAAAATAGACTTTTGAAATGTCAATACGGTTTGCGAACGAGGCATAGGTAGCCAACCCTATGAACGTTAGTGAGTGTTCTTAACTCGTGAGCCAGGGAATTCAAAAAGGATTTTAGGAGCCTTTTGTAGCCTTCTTTCTAAATTTTACATCCGCCTACACAAATCTTTCGCTAAATACGCTTACGTGACTCCTCGTGGCGTTTCAGTAGACTCCCACTGGTCCTCGGTCGATAAGGTTTTTTCGCTATCGAGTTATCAGGGGACTCTATGTCATTTAGTTTGGTTAGCCATCGCTGCAGTAGAATGCCCAGATCCAACTCAGCGACAATTTCTACGGCTTCGACAGGCCCAGCAACTGGTTTTGGATCCAAATTATTAATATCCTGTTGAAACAAAGGGACTTCAGCAGGACGCGAAAGTTGTTGTAGAGCCGTTCCTTCGCCAAGTAAATCATGTTTCACCGCTGATTCTGAACATCCAGGAAAATTGCATGCCTTTCCCTAAAGAATATTAAAAGTTGGTATTTTAAAAATTGTTCGGCACAAAAATTTGCTAACAATCCGTTTGTAGTTGAAAGTGGATTGAGGCAATTACCTTATGACCCTCTGCCACGTTTTTTTTATCCTACACTTATTCCTTCACATTCGATGTACTTCGCAAGCTAGGACTATCTGGTCATTTTAGTAAGATTAACCTTGCTTTGTTTTCTCCTAAAACAAATTTTTTTAACTGCTTTGACTAAAATTTTACGGAAAACCTGATGCCGAGTAAATCATGTTTACTTACTAAAACAGCCGATGCTGGTAAAACGTTAAATTTCATAGATATTGTCGGTAATGGAACGTCAGCTGCATTTGAGCCATTGGTAAGCTGAATTCGTCTAGCGATTCCCAGCATGTCATTAAGGCACACCTTGGGCTGAATAATGCTCAAGCTGCTTCGGCGGAAGGTATTATGGGTCTCATTTTGGCCTTGATGATGCTTTAATGTTTTAGCGGCTGTGTCCGAATCCCAAGACTTGCCTTCCAGGCTAATATCCATCGCATTTCCTTCCATTTACTGCACAGTTGGTGTTGTAGTTGAAAATACTTGTCAGACACTTTGCCAACCTCATTTTTATTGATTTTTGGTGCGATGACCTTGAGAGTGACTTGTAGAAATAAGATTAAACCACATGCTCTGGATTATAGGGACTATGTACGTCAAGTATTACAAAAGTTAACTATTTTTAAGTTGAATAAAATATGAAGCATATTTATGGTGGAAGACATTTGCATCAGTTAATGTCTGATGCTGGATTACTTAGAGATTCGAATCACCGCTTTATTTGATCACGAACAATCTTTTTTTAAACAACCTAAACATGCAACTTTTCAGTAGGTACCAATGGCACCGTAACTAACGGGTAAGTCCTTTTTAACACGGCAATCAAAACGGCTGTTTGCTCAATCCCTGATCCCTCTCCCAAGTACTTTCTAATTTTCCCTGTTTCAGTCTAACAACGTACCAAAAGACCGCTAATTGTGTGTTGGTCCTTAAACCAAACTTACCATGAATAGCGTTGATTCACACTCGTTAATCCGGTCACTCCCCACAACGGCCCCCCTTTTTGCAGCATGTCGCCAGCCGCGCGGATCCTCAACTCCCCCCTAATTAGCGCCAACGATTATCTTAGATTATCCTCACACCTAGGTCTCGATGTTAGCCCATTTGGCTCACACATCTAAGCAATAAATCCACGCCCAAACTTGGTTGACCTTTGAAGTAAACGTTTGTGTCCACTTCCTCCTTGGTCTTTTTCTTCATCGTGGGTAGCAGGGAAGCGTAATCGGGCTAGATCCAGCTCAGTGGCCCCAGCGTGATTCAAGGCTACATGCTGGGTCCCACAACAAACGTATTTATTTTAAATTACTGCTTAATTAAGAAAACCCGATTATTGGTCAGTCATCATTCTTGTCATGATTTATGGTTTTAATCAGTCTATTGTATCACCTGAAAATTTTATTCACAAAGAAAGTTGAGCTTAAACAGATAAGCATTAGACTTTGAAAGCGAATGGCATTTAAGACCAACTACATTTTGCATGTAAACCTCTTTTTTCACATTTATGTTTTTTTATCGCTAAAACACTTGTCTGGTAACGGGAGATTACTTTTGGGAGCACAGAATGCGTAAAAATTGAAACTTAAAGAACAGCGAATAGTCTTACAATGACTTCAATTTGAGGCAGTGTCGGTTAAAGGATTTGATCGCACCATTCCGGCAGATCAAATACATCGAAATTTATAGAATTTGGGGTTAAATGAAATCGCACCAACGACGTGCTAGAAACAGGCTTTTTAAGCACCCATTTAGGTTGGTTAGCTACAGAAACTCTCCCTTAGGATTTACCTTGGTTACATTCAAAGTAGTTTCAATATGACATATATGAGTTCTGATATTGGTATTGTACTTAATTCTTACGAACAAGTTGACAAAATTTTGCCCAGAACGAATGGTACCCACTTTGCCAACATCGCCACAAGTTATGGTACAAAACACCCAGAAAAGCGAAGAGAGAATGTTTTTTTTGCTAGCATTTGGGGATGAATGTAGCGTGCGACGGGCATTCAAGTGAAGGAACAAAAGTCAACGCATGAGAGGTGTTGCGAGAATAAGAAACTGAGCGAGAATTTTTACAAAAGTTGTTGCGGGATGCCTTTACTCCATCTCCGTTGGGGGAATGCTTTTTAAGCAGCCAGCTGTTATTGGCAGTTAGGGTAGCATCAATCTGTATGGCCGGTTTGATAGAGACCACCAAGTACGTAACATTAGGATCGCACTGGCCCAATGCTTCACCCTGATTTGGCCTCTCATTTTCCCAGGATTGCAAAAATTTGCATCTGACCATGAGAAGTACCGGAAAGTGTTGGCAAACCACCCTTCTCGTGTGTCAGTCAGCGTCACACGCCTCTTATGTGGTTACCGTGTCGATTTTTAAACTGAGTACGGTTGTAATGTTGCTGGTCGTTTGAGTCATCAGTGAAAATACACAGGATGATTGTGTACGTTACTGGCGGTGTCGTCGAAGTAGACCGGGAACAACTGTTGCATGCAGAATTGTTGCTGTCTGCTTGACGATCGAGCTGTCTTCCTGACTAGTTATTTATCCGTAAAGTTATACCCTAAGACGCCTGTTTGCCGTGTTTACATCAGACCATAAGTGGACCATTAATTTCGGTTGTGTGTAAGGATAGGACAAGCGGTCGAAGTCTGGGCATTCCAGCGCCACGCACGCGGTTAGTTGTTAAAACACGCAGTTATGTATTTTAATAACCAACTTGTTCGACCAGAATAACTGACGGCAAAACAGTGTAACGTAAAAAATACTCCCAAATGTAAGGGAAATAAGAAAGATAATAATTGTGTAGGATGAGATTCTGAACATCGGTCCTAGAAACATTTCCAAAAACCATGAAGACAGTGCCGATAAGATTGCAATTTGGGGAGGTTGACGTCAATAAATTGATAATGTTTTTTTTTAAAACTGTCAAGAATTGGTCTCGGCTTTAAGTTTTTAAAATTCTATTCAAAGCCATTTCACTGAGTTGTGAAGTCATAAGTGGAAATCTGGTACAAAGGCATGCTACCACTTTGCATTTCTCGTCTAGTATTTTTAGCCAATTCCTACAAGCCTAAAAGTAACAGGATCTAAATGACGGTTTTTCTGAGATAATGGGCCAAATTGTTTAACCTTGGGGTAAATCCAACAGTGCAAAACAACTGGTGAATGCTTCCTGAAAGAACCATTCTTACAACGAATCAGACAATTCCAATTAAATGCATTAAATAAATAAATCAGTACTACCTGTGCTATCTCTTATGTTATTTTCAAGAATTTAATTATCGTTCACGAAAGCACTGCTGCATTAAACGTAAGTTTGTTTTATTTTAATTTAGTCAGTTTAATATCCTGTAACGAGTTTTTTTAGCAGCAAAAATTGTAACGGTTTACAATCTCCTTCCAGTATTTTAGTGGATAATCACTGCCTACTCATTTACCAATTTGACCCGAACTTAGCGGAACCTGGCGAAGAAATTCAGATACTTCTACATTGTGGGTTTGATAGCAAGCTTTGTAAGTTGCTTTGCCTCATCTAACCAAGCAACCGAATCTGACTGAAATATCCTAGCATACTTAACCAAAGTGGTCTTAATAGAAACTTTTCCGCAATCTACCTAGGAACCTTTCGCTGCAGATTTTAGATTCCCAGTTCTAAGCAACTTCTTACTGACCTTCCTCTAGTAGAACCTCTAAAAATCATGTTGAGCTGAATGAGTTTCTGCTTGTAGTGAACAATCCTCGTGAAGACTCTAGATTTTGTGGAGCTCTGCAACGAAGCGTACAACCAGGACGGTTTTGCTTCACATGATTCCCAGTAAATTCGGGTGACAATCAGGCTTGAAAACGGTTGACACCGATTATCCGCTCAAAACAGCTTCGTGTGAAAGCATCCATTTAAGTTTTCTCCACAACGCATTCAACAACTTTCCGATTCGGAGTTCAATGCAGCGGAATTCCGTTTTACGATAAATTATTGTTAAAATAGATTAATGAGACGTGTTTAAACCCAAACAGACACGCCTAACAATAATCTCCTCACTAATTCTGCTACATCACTTATAATCATTGCGAACTACCTTCATCTAACTGGAACAGTCTTAATTAACTGCGGAGTATGATAGTGCGTGAATACAAAACCTGTTGGGTCAAAACATTGTAATGAATTAAAACTTGAGGTAATTGTAAACTATTCCACTTTTTGACAAATAATTCCAAACGTTAGAAGCATTTTACCACATTAACTGCCAGTTCTGAGGCGTTTAAGTTTTACTCTTGAAAAAGAGTCGCTAGAGTTGTTAGGGAAAGGTGAAATGGATGTGCATGCAGGATGTCTATTTAGCCAATAGGAATTGGAGCAGATGTCGTTCCCAAAAGCTGCAAATATGTCTGCTAAAACGAAACTTAGCAAAACGAAAATTAAATACTTATACAGAATTTTAACCGAACACATACTTAAGACTTTGTTTTAATTTCACTGTTGTAGGTAATAAATTAATGACTTCAAAGCAATTGAAAACCCTCTCGAAAATATCCGTTTTGAATTTGACAGCAACTGTTTAGAATTCAAGAAAGGATTAGTTTTTTTTGGCCTCAGCTAGTGTCCAGTTTACAGTTTCCTGTTTTAATTGCCTTCCAGAGCAACGTTTATCTAATGAAATAGAAAGCAAATTCAAAGATGCGCACATATTCGAGTAAGCAAATGCCTTAACAATTTTCCCATTACCACTAAAGGACGTCGCATTGTTGCTGATTTTCTAGTAGCACATTTCCTAAACAAAAATTTAATGAGCTAAAAACAGGGAAAAAGATGTCGACGACCGGGATTTACCCTATCAGGTCAGAAAATTTTATTTTCATTTAACCACGGGATATCGCAATAAATCCTGGCTGTTGCAATAAAAGGAAAAGAGTGTGTGCTAAGAGAGGCTAATTTTTGCAAGGAAACCCGACTGATCAAACGTGCTGACTCAGCACCGCTGGGTTTTTTTACACCACGAAAATAACCACACCAAGCCTTTTAGCTGATAAACCAGATAACCAATTGACGCACATTGAACTTTTTGGGTGCAAGGCCTGGGGGGCTTAGCGAGTAAAACAGAAAAATCGATTGCAAACCGTAGTCCAATTACTGGGCCGTTTGGGCGGTTCTGTTCTTCATTTTGCGCGCTTGGGATGTAGCATTTAATACGTTGGAAGTCGAAACTCCAATTTTGCTTGGTAGGTTTATTTTTTGAATATTTTAGTTCTACTTGGGCTACGACAATGCACAGGCGGTAACTGAACTTATTTAAAGTTATTTTTTCAACTTAGATTAAAGGCTCCTGCAATACAGCGCGCAAAGTTTGCGCAGCCTACAGACCAGTTGTCTTTGACAAGCGCTCACTGTAAAGAAAATCGAGCCAATTCCACCAGACTTATTTTATAATTTTAAGGAATATGCATGATCAAGCCA